TCACACAGCAACAAACGAGCAATACCTGCAACCACCCTCCTCCAGCACAATCGCCTACACTCACGATGAGATTTATCTCTTCTCCTACTTTCTCTCTCCCTCCGTCGTCTCCCTCCGATCCGATCTCTCTTCCGACTCTTCCTACAGAAATCTTTATAACTCTCTGCTCATACATCTCACCCCGCGATTTAATATCCCTCTCTTTGACCTGTCGTCTTTTCAACTCATATCTGTGTTCATCAACTTCATCAACTACACAACACATATGGCGGAGTACGCGTAAGCAATATTTTCCCAATGCTCAAACAGAGCCTTATGACGGTCTTGATGAGAGAGTCTACACCATTTTGCTTCTCGACAGGGCATGCGAATACTGTAAACAATTACATACTTCAAAAATTCCTCCCCGTTTTAGAGCGACAAAAACTGTTAGAGGAAAGAAGAGACAAGGACTGGAGCTAGAAAAAATCACAGACGCTGATGATGATGAGGTTGAGAATGGAAGTGCCGTTGATGACAGGGAATTCTGGGCGAGAAACGCCTGGTGGGATGGATTGGAGATCGATACTGCTGATGAGTGGATGGACTCGGAGGATGAAGAAGAATATTATGACATGTTTCATGACGATGACGATAATTATTGGATTCGAGGCGTGGATGATAGGGAATTCGAAGGGGAAACTACAACCTGATAGATAGATTAAATTATACAGCATCAGACTAATTATTAGAACAATTTACATTAAGACAAGTAGACATTTTATTGATGCAGAAAGCATATTCCGGTAACCTAGTTTGCTGACACATCTGTGGGTTGGTACTTGTATGTATGTAATAGAGTGAAAACAGCAACAAAAAAGAGAATGAAAACATGATGAAAACAAAGGATTGTATCCATCAAACAGAGTCACGTGTTATAAGTATTTATCACATGACTATGAACACGAATTTTGGGCACCACTATGTCAGGAGAGCGTGTTTCGTCCTCAAAATCATCGGTAGAATGTCCAGCTTTCACTGTGCATAATCGTCGACTGTTTGTCGATTGTTGGTCGATTGTTTGTCGGACCTCACAAATCGTGCAAAAAAGGTAAATTGTAAATATGCAACTTACAGTTCATGCGAGTGTGCTGTAATTAATTAATATTTTATTCTCATGTAGACGTCCATTGGTGAAAGACTTGCTTACGTTTAATACAGAACTGAACGATCAAACGATTCAACGGTCGATCATTCCGCAGTTTCTCGAGCCTATCTGTAGCGGCTCCCCACTTCTTTTCATCATCTCTGCAAATCTCTTCTTGGTTAATGTTGGTGCATTTTCTGTATCGATGGGTTTTGCTCAATCCAATTGAACCATTCATAACACAACCTCCCTTCACGGAATTGGTTCGATGACATCTGGAAGACGTGACGTTATCGTCAATGACTGCATTTCGTTGTGCATTTCTGTGTTTGAGATATAGAAAGTTTGGAGACTGGTGGTAAGCGCTGTATCCATCAGAGGCGGAGTTGTGTTTAATATTACCATTGGATTTTCTTAGATACGTTTTTAGACGTTTGTCGTTGCTTGCTCCTGCTAGTAAATTGCGCGTAGAATATCGGTTGGTATTTAAAGTCAACCTTCAGACGATACAATGATGGTTACATTCCGGCGGAGTGGTTGTTCTGGATGTCTGAATATTAGATCTGGCAGCTGCTTTATCGTCCCCATCTCATGACAGTTCTTTATGTAGTTCTCGGATTATCATCATTAAATTTAAGCTCTTGGTGGCTCCTTGTGGAAGAAATAAGTCAATTTCCGTCTTCAGACGTGATACAATATGCAGC